GAGGGGGCCGGGGCTCCGTGAGTGCTGGCGAGGCGGCTGTGGGCGGTTGCTTAGCGACGGCACACGTCTGCTGCCTGGGCTCCTGGGCAGCTGGGCACCGCCCCTCGGGGGACGCCCTGCTCAGGGCCGCAGACGGCACCCTCCGCGTCTCGGGGTTGGCGGTGGTGAGCTTGGAGGTGACAACAGCTGCTGGGGACACCAGCTGGCTCTACGGGGCGGAGGGCGGGCTTGTGTCCCTGGGGCTTGGTGGGGACGGAGACGCCCCAACACAAAAGACAGAGAGTGACCTGACTGTCCCCGAGGGGAGTCCTGGTGGGGCCACCCGGGGCATGGTGGGTGGCCTCCCCCAGATCGTCCACACCCTTCAGTCAGAAACCTCCCTGGGCCAGAGCCACCCCAGGGGAGACCCCTCGATCCCGGGGCCCCGGAGGCCCTGTCCCATGCTCACCTGCCCTCTGAGGCCCGGGACGCTGCCCAGCAACATGCCCAGGCTGGTGAGGCCGGGAGCCCTGGTCTCCACCATCTGCCCTGGGTGTGCTCTGTTGTCTGTGAGCAGGAAGGGGACTCAGTGCTTCCTGAATGATGACCGCAGGGCCACCTGGGTGCTGTGGCACCATCAGCTGGTGAGTGGGGGAGAGGGTGGGCACGTCTGCCCAGCACAGCGCCCTCCAGTGCTAAGGGACCGAAGTCCCCGTGTCCGAGGCAGCGCGGTGACCGGAGGCCGGCTGTTCAGCGCCAGGCCAGGCAGACGAGGCTGCCCCCTGGGACTTCCCTATGCTGACCAGGGTGGGCAGGAGCCGACTCGATTGTTTTTCCAAAAATGTACGCAGGGTCCCCTGGGCACTGAGGACCAGCTGGGCCGGGCGGTCTTCTGGGGGTGCCCTGGGCTCTGCAGGGGCTGCAGGACTCCCAGCTGTGAGGACCTCACGGGTCCCCAGGCAGGGCCCAGTGTCCCTGGGGCAGGATCACCCAGGTGGGCCCTGCGGGAGAGGATCGCGTCTGAGCTCCCTGTGCGTCAGGAAGTCCCCGTGCCACGGAGCAGACAGGGGAGGGGGCTGCGGCTGGTCCTGCCGTGGGCTGGGCACTGGCCACCACCAGTGCCTGCCCGGGCAGAGCGGGTCCAGGACCCCCCGTACGCCTGGGCAGTCCCTCCAGGGAACAGCCTGTCCATGGGCAGAAGCAGGGTAGTGTGTGTCACAGCCCCCCGGGACAGGCGGAAGGTGGCCCTCCCAAGGCCAAGCCGCAGACAGGCTCCAGCCGACTCCAGCAGGCCCCCGGAGCCTCCCGAGGACAAGGACGCTCAGAGAGGCCACTCAGCCCGCCAGCCACGGCTGAGGAGCCCTGGCCTGAGAAGCTCCAGCGGCTCGGCCACAGGGCCCGGGTCCTTCCTGGTGCGTCCCTGTCCCACCACTCCAGGCCAGGAGCTCCCCAGTGACATCGCCCAGGGTCCCTGTGTGGGGGGGTAGGGCACCCAGAGCGGATGAGAGACCCGTGAACTCTGAGGAAAACAACGGAGCCGCCCCCGTTCACCAGAGGTCACCGCGGGCAGGCGTGGGGGCAGGCGTGGGGGCAGGCGTGGGGGGCAGGCGTGGGGGGCAGGCGTGGGGGCAGGCGTGGGGGCAGGCGTGGGGACAGGCGTGGGGGCAGCCCTGGCCGGGTGGCCTCCTCCCACCCTGCATGCCCGCTCCCCTGGCCGGCGGCAGCCAGACACCTCCACCTGGCAGAGGCCTCTGCTCCCGCACAGGGACAGGGAAGATGGCCCAACCCTGAGCTGGGAGGTGTCAGCCCTTTCCAGGCCAGGGCACCGGGGGGTGGGGACGGTCACCCCGGCCTGGTGAGGGTCGTCTCCACGCCCCGGCTGCCCCTCTGCCGTGGCCACACATTCATTCCCGGCCTGGGTGGGCTCGGGGCCCTGGTGGGTGTGGACACTAGGAAACGCGCCAGCTGTGACACAGGGGCCCGCAGCATGGGGGACGCCAGCCTAGTGTCCTGGAGTCTCTCTGCTGGGCACCATGGCCAGGCCAGCGGCGGGTGGCAGAGCTGCAGGGCCGTGGGGGACTGCAGGACCCGCGGCCTCCTCTGCCCCCGGCGGCTGCTGGTGGCAATGGCCGGGTTCCCTGGGGACTGGCAGAAGCTCTCTGTTTTTTCAGTTTTTAGCTTTACCTTTATTTTGTGTATTTATTTATGTGGAGCTGAGGGTGGAACCCAGGGCCTCACCGTGCCAGGCCTGCCCTGCCCCAGCCCAGCCCCCAGAACAGCAGGATGCAGCGCTGTCCCCTGAGGGTGGCCGTGGCCCTCACTTGGCGACATCCGGGTGACCTGAGGCTGCCCCAGAAAGACTGACTCAGCATGGAGACCCCGGCCCTCCAAGCCTCAGAGGAGTCCAGCAGCCGGCCTGGTGCTGCTGGGGACAGAGGTGAGGTCAGGGTGGGCGCTCCTTGGCCGCCGTCCCCCACGGCTGCCACCTGCCATGGCTCTCTGGCCACATCCTGGCCCCGCAGGTGCTGAGCAGCGACCCTGCTCCCCCCAGGCCAGGGGTCCCTCCTCCAGCCATGGCCACCACAAACGTCTCCACCTGCGAGTGTCCCCAAGTGGGGCAGGGCCACCGTCACCCCCCGGGCCAGGCCAGCACAGCGGCATCTCAGACGGCCCGAGACGCAGGAGACGCGCGGCCAGGTGCAGACACAAGAGCGAGGCCGAGACCAAGGACGCGGGCCCAGGTGTGCCAGACCCTCCTGGGCAGAGCCACCGCGGGGGTCAAGGTTTCCACAAGCCCCAAGGAAGGTCAGCACCGCGGGTGACCGAGGAATCACCGGGGAGAAGGCCACGGTCACAGACCCCTGCCAACCACGGTGGGAGGTGCAAACGGGCACGGCCTGAGGGAGGGCGCCCTGGAGGCCACAGGCAAGAGGCCAGCCTCACAGAGCGCCTGTGGACCTGCCCGCGGGCCCCCCGCCCAGAACCCCAGAAAGCCAATGCAGAGACGCTCTTAGTGGACAGGCCGCACAGACACGGGACCCAGGCGGCCCCAGGCCGGCTTGCAGAGCCCCAAGGTGACAAGTCAGAGGAGGGACAACTGCCCAGCTCAGAGGGTGCACCCCGCAGCCTGGGACTGTGGACGGCCAGGGTCAGCGAGACTGAGGACACGGGCTGCTGGCTCTGACGCTGGAGGAGGGGGACGAGGACCATCTCTGGGCCTCAGTGGGGCCAGCCTGCGGCACCGGGGCTCCGGGCCTGGTTCGGCCCAGCGAGGCCGCTCTGTGCTCCTGGCCACAGGGTCAGGCCCAAGCTCTGTGCTGGTGTCGGCCACGCAGCCCTGGTGGCCGTCACCGCAGCCCCGGAGCCCACGCCCACCCCTGCTCTCTGTGGGAGTCCTGCTTGGGGACAGGGCTTGGGTCAGGTCTGGTGGGCAGCCTGTGGCGCTCCGGGAGGTGGAGGCCACCACAGCCTGCTCCTTGCTCCCTGGCCTCCACAGAGGCCCAGAGCCAGGGCCAACCCGCCACACCGCGGCAGCCGCCCAGCGAGCGTCTGTCCCCACCGGGCACGCGCCTGTCCCACTCCATGTCACCTTCCCACCTCCGCCTGCTCCTGCTGACTGAGGCTGAGGGTCTCTTGGGGCTTTCCCCGGGCGGGTCCAGCACCATGAGGTCCCCACGCTCCATGAGCTCACGGCTGTACCCCTGCCACGCCCTCGTGCGCCATGTCCTCCCCTGCCCAGCACTGCCTGCTCCACCGGGGCCACCGTGGTCATCTCCTCCACCAGAAGACGTCCGTGGGCTAAGGCACAGATTCTCAGCCTGGTGTGGCGTCACACAGGCGCATGGCCCAGGACGCCTCCTGGGGCTCCGGGGCCACAGGTGCCACCTGGCTCTGAATGGCCTCCGTCACCTCCATCCCCTCTGTCACCTCCCTCACCTCCATCACCGCGGCAGAATGTGGAGTGACCACAGTCCCAGCCTCACCACTGCCCACCACCCTTCTGTCCCCACAGACTTGACCCTTCCATAAATTTCACACAAGGGACACCCACAGCGCTGGGCCACGGGCCCCTCCTGTGCCAGCAGCCACCCTGGTGACCACCGAACCTGGGCCTAGCCTCACCCGTGACTGTCACAAAGAACCTTCCCCATCTGCCCTCCTGCCAGGGCACAGAGGGGTGCCAAGGTCTGAAGGTGGCTTGTCACCCAGGCTTGTGACCGTCACAGTGGTCAGCGGAACACTTTGATGTCAGTGTTGAAAGCAGTGGGATTAAGGGGTGGGCTGAGTGGGAGGGGACCAGGAGGTGACGGTCCCAGGTGGGGAGGGTGGACTGCACAAGATGGATGGTTTGGCCCAGCGCAAAAGGGCAGTTTGCTGTAAGAGAGTGACCCGGCCCTACCCAGGTCTCTTGCATCAGCTCTGGCCACGTCACCTCTGCACACAACACTCCCCATCTCCCCTGAGCTCCCACTACATGACATCACCTGTCCTGCTGGGATACAATACAAGGTACAGTCACCGGATCCTGCCTCCAAAACTATGAGCCGGAATGAACCTTTCTTATATTTAAAGTAACCAGCCTTGGGTGCTTTGTCATAGCAACAGAAAACAGACTGAGACGAGTTTCTAATACACTTTCCATTCAAAGACAGCTCTGGCCTTGGCCATGACTACTGTTGGGTCACTCAGGACAAAAGCTCCCTCTTAAAACTTGCTGGGGTGGAGTTCAGATGACCAAAAGGCAGGTGGCACAGCCGTGTGCTCCCTGTCCTGACGCTGTCCAGAGCTCTTGAGGACCAGCCCCACCAGTGCCATGGCTTCACACACAGCAGGACACGTTGTGAGGAACCCCGCACAGTCCCTGTTCCCCACTGTTCATGCACAGTCTTTGTGGTAAGAAGCCCCCGGACACAGGGCAGGTCACAGCGGACGCCTCCTGGACAGCCGCCCAACTCCCCTCTCGGCCTGACTTCAAGAGCAGCGACGGAACACGAGAGCCAAGGGCAGGTGGCAGCACGTACCTGTGCGGGAGCGACCTCCACCGCGTCCGTCACCCAGCCCTCGCTTCCTGCAAGAGAAACACAGCGTGAGTTGGCACCACTTTGTGGGAGGTGCTGGAGGTGGGCGCAGGGTTGGCACGGAGGGGCATGCCCTCAGGGGACGCCAGAGGCCCACCAGTCCTGCCTTCGGGGCCCTTCTGCGGGACCAGTGGGAGGCTTCGGCCTGTGGGCAGGATAAACCCCAGGGGCCACCTGCCCGAGGGGCGTTGTCCCCCTCCCCCAGGTGTCGCTAACAAAGTCTCCACGTCTGAGAAGAGGACTCCCGGCCAGGGTGGACAGCTGCACGGCCTTCCTTGTTTGCAAATGTGCTGTCCACCTGCCCTTCCCCAAGTTACCACCAAAGTCCACAGTCCAGGGAAGCAAGCCTCGGTCCCCAGGAGCAGGTGGGGACAAGCAGGTCTCTGAGCAGCCTGAGGCCGAGCTCCAAGGCTGGCCTGAGCGTCTGGGGACCGGGCCCTGGGGACTCCACCCCCCGTGACAGGAGGGGCTCCTGGGCCTGAGCCGTGGGGCCAACAGTGTGGCTTCTGCTCAGCCCCTGGGCGCCTCTGGATCTGGGATCTCAGCACGCGCCAGGCAGAGGGGCCGCGTGTCCCCCACTGACCCCAGGCGCTGGGTCTCTGTGAGCTCTCAGCGACTTTCCACAGGTGTGTTGTGGGGACCAAGTGCACCCTGTGGGACTCCCTGGGAGGAGACTCTGGAGGCCCTGCCTGGTCCCCAAGTGCCCCCACATGCGGTTCCCACCTCTGACTCTGCTCTGGGTCCTGTCACTAAGAACCGCAGCTGGGAAAACGGCCCGTGCTGAGACCTGCTGAGACCTGAGGACCCCAGCAGGGCACCAGGCCTGGGGTGGCCTAGGAACCCCAGTATACAGCTGGGGCCCAATTAGTGCTGGCTCCAAGGGATCTGACACGTGAGAAAGGCTACTCGTTCCTGAGTACTTTCCCAGAACCCAGAGCCCTGGTCTTTCTGGAAAACCTCAGGCCCACCCAGGCCAGAGGGGGCAGGAGCCGGCCAGACTGTCGGGTCACAGAAAGTAGGGAGAACCGGGGTGCACAGCCCAGAGGAGCCGCGGTCCCAGGTGCCATGCTGGGCGGGGAAGGGATACGGGGAGAACAAGAGGTCCGAGGACACTGGAGTCCAGCAATGGGAACGTGTCCCCAAGGGGTTCTGGTTGTCACAAATCCCCTGAGGTTGGGTAAGATGCCGGCGGGAAGGGACTGCTGCGTTCTGAGGGGCACGGAAGCCCCAGTGTCCTTAGAGGCTCGTCTGAAATTCTAAAATTAAAAGTCACTTTTTGTGTATTTGCTTATTTATTTACTACTGGTGCCAGGGAGGGGAGCCAGGGAGGGGAGCCAGGGAGGGGAGCCAGGGCTCCACCACTGAGCAGACCCCGACCCTTTTCATTTTTTATTTGGAGACAGGGTCTCGCTATGTTGCAGAGGCTGGCCTTGGACTTTTGATCCTCCTGCCGCAGCCTCCGGAGCCTCTGGGATCACAGGGGTGGCCACCACGGCCAGGTCACAGCAGATTTTAAAACCACTCACAGCTTTGAGGATGTGGGCTCCTCTGCACCCAAGGACAGGAGAGCGCAGCCCCCCACGCTGCCTGCAGGTGGCGCCCGTGCCACAGGAACACGGGGCGCCCTGGGACGCTGGTGGCCGGACCCTGCAGGACCCCGTCCACACCAGGGCCGGCGGAGGGGCTGCAGTCAGCAGGGTCAGTGGCGAAGGGGCCGGGACGCCAGGCCTCTGCCTCGCGGGCCCCACCCATGCGCAGACTGGTGGCTCCGCACAGACTGGGGGGGGGGGCTGGCGGACAGTGCAGGAGGGATGGTGCACCTCTCATCCACCAGGGACACTGTCCACGCCAGGAAACAGGGCGACACAGGCACTGGCCGGAGAGAGGGGGTCAGTCTGGACGCTGGAAGGGCAGTGCACTGCTGGGCGCAGTCAGACCTGCACGGCCCAGAACATTCCGCCACCCCAAGAAGCCCGTCCCACGAGCGGCCCCTCCCAGCCCTGTCCCGCAGGTCCACTCTGGACCCCCTGTGGCTGGGTCACATTCTGTGTCTGGCTCTCACTGACCATGAGGTCCTCAGGTGTCACACTGCAGCTGTCACCTCACTCCTGCCTGGAGGACTCTCCCAGTGGACAGAACATGCTGTGTGTCCCCTGACGGGCACCTGGGTAGCCTCTGCCTCTTGACAGACATGAGACGCGTCTGTCTCATGAACATGTAGAGGACGGCTCCTCACCAGCCTGTCCTCCCCTCCTGCCCATGACCTGTCCCTGAGCCACCAGGCAGCTGCTGCAGGCCCCCGGGGCTGCACCCCAGAGCAGAAGGACGGGCAGAGAGAGGGACGGGCAGAGAGAGGGACAGTGGGGCAGAGAGAGGGACGGGCAGAGAGAGGGACAGTGGGGCAGCAGCTGGCGCCCGGCTGTCCCGTCGACCCTCACCCACCCCCAAGTCAGACAGAAACGCTGCGTCCATGTCTCGTGTCTCCCACGAGGAGCCCCAGGCCCCGGAGCGGGGACCTCTAGAGTCAGGGCAGGATGGACCGCGGGGCCCTGCTGGACAGCGGGTGTGAACCGGGTTGGACCAAGAGTGGGGCCGGGTGCAACGGGGCAGGAAGGCCAGGTAGAACCGGCCCCATGACCCGAGGGGACAATCTGTCACTCTGAGGAAACAGACGTCAGGGGACACCCCAGTGCTCCCCTGCCCCCCACTGTGTCCCGGGAAGTGCTGCTGACAATCCGTCTGGTCTGTGGGCTTCGTTTTCTTTCTTCTTTTTAGATTAGGACCTCACCCAGAGGACCTGGTGCTGAGGACGTGAGAGGGGAGGACGGCCAGGCAGGAGCAGCGGTCTGTCTGAGCACAGCGAACGTGACCCGATACACAGCCGGTGCCCGGGGGGGGGGCCGGAGCCCACAGGCAGGACCCTGCGAGACGGCGCCCGCCCTCCCTCCCAGGCGCTCCCCCACACGCGGCAGAGGTCCCGGATCCCAGGCTCAGAGCGCACGGCTCTCAGGCGGCACCCACCAGGCCCTCTGCCAGGGCCTCTGGTGCCCCGTGCCCACGGGCATCCTGTTTTAAAGCCAAGCCCCCCACCAGAGGCAGGGACTGGCCAGCTTTGGGGCCTTTGGCTCACACACGGGGCCACATGCCAGGGCAATACCAAGGGGACCCTTGCCCACTGTGTGGCACAGGGGACAGCCTGAAGAGCGAGGGACCCTGGAGGGCCAGCAATGCCCCAGGCCCCTCTGCCTCGGTTGACCTTGGCAGCCCTCCTCAAGGGCAAAGTGACAGCTCAGAGGACAGAGCTGGCACTGCGAGCCCCAGACCCTCCCCAGCAGGAAGGGACTGGCTCTGGCTGGGGACAGGGACGGAGCTGGTGGCCCCAGGGCAGACGGCAAGGAGAGGGACAGAGAGACGCCAAGACTGGGCACGGCCCTCTCTGGCACACCCTCCTGCCCTCCTGGCAGGGCCGTCCTCTGTCCAGAGCCCCCTTTGAACACAGCAGCAGCCCTGGAGCCAGGGACACGGGACAGTCCTGGTCCTGCAGGGGCTGAGCAGCGTCCCTGGGCTCCACCCCTCCCCGTCATGACAGCCACCTGTCCCCAGGCATCACCAAGGTCCCCCGTGAAGGGCTGAGCCAGGGCAAGGGGACAGCAGGACCTTGCCACGGCAGCCCCAGCCCACCTGGGCTCTGGCTCCGAGAGATGCCCCAGACAAGTGCCCATGAGGCTGTCTCCAAGTCCCCGCCTGGGGACACCATGTGGAAGGCCCACGGTGCGCTGGCTGCTGGGGACCCGCAGGCACCCAGGTGGCCCTCCCCGGCCACCTTCCTGAGCAGCGGGGCCAGCAGCTCTGGGGTCTGCAGGGTCCCGCCTCCCCTCCGCCCGAGGATGACCATCTGCTGAGACCTGGCTCTGTCCATGGTGAGGAGTGTGAGAGCAGCTGGGCCAAGGGGAGGGACGGTGACCCAGCCGCGAGCCACTGCGGACTCCAGCAGGCGGCGCTGTCTGGGGACGGGCTCCCGGCCCAGCACACCGAGGCTGGAAGGTTCTCTGTGACCACCTGGGCCCCAACTCCCCCCACTCTGCCAGGACACCCCAGTCGTGACAGCCACCAATGTCCCCAGACATGGCCGGGGCTCCCTGAAGCAGAATCTGCTCAGAGCGAGACCCTGCTCTGAGGGTGCCCCAGGGCAGGGACAGCGGGACCCAGCACTGACCACAGGCAAGCCCTGCCCACTGCGGCTCCTCGGGGCATCACGTGGGTGGCCGGGCAGCCTCGGGCCCACAGCCCACGCTGGCACCCAGCCCGCAGCAGAGGCACCTCGCCTCCCGGGGCTGCCAGCCGCAGCCTTCGCCATCACCACAGCAACCGTCTAAATATGTCACCCAGGAGCGCTGACTGAGGGGGAGCAGGGGGGCCGGGTGACAGGTGACACTCCCCCGGCTGGGGTGTAGGCGAGGGGGGGACAAGGGGGTGGCACCAGATTCCAGGGTGGTCACAGGCCCGACCTGGAGCCCCGTGAGGCCCCGGGGTTAAAGGGCAGCAGGCCAGCGGCTTGGTCCACGTCCCTGGTGTTCTTGAGGCCCCTGACCCCACCTCCACCCAACACGGAGTGTCCCTGGTCTACACGCCGCCCGCAGAAGCCATTCGGGTGCCTGCTGGGGGCAGGAAGCTCAGGAGCTCTTCCCAAATAAGAACACAGGCCCCCTGGGCCCCGGGGACAAGGCCGACCTTCCCTGGGGGCAGAAACGTCCCCTGTGCTCTGCGGTCACCCCAGGCCCACTCGTCAGAACCGTGATGCACAGAGGCAGACACCGAGGTCTGGGAAGAGGCCAACCTGGGACAAGAAAAGAAAGTGAGTACAAACCCATTTCTTCTCCATTCAGAACCACAAGAGCTACGCCGAGGCCGGGGAGCGGGGTGGGGACAGTCCCGCCTCCCGGTGGCACTCGGCCTGCAGTGAGCCGGCCCCTCCCCAGCCTCCGCCCAC